AATATCAGTTCCAAATCAGTTTGGGATATACCTGTCTATTTACCGAGCGTTTTCAACAACGAGTTGAAAATTCGAAAAATTATTTTCGAATCGTTGCAACTGGAATACATACAAGGGAAAAGAAACTGGAATAACCGTAGGGTCGAATTTATAATTTGCTCGAGCAGCGAGTAACTCGAGCGCGTGTAATTCATAGAGGGGGAAGGAGGGGGGGTTTGGACAAGCTCTTCTTTCCGACCGTGGAAAAACCAGTTTGCAACAACGATACTAACGAGCGGTACGCTTCGTCCTCTTCAGAATTTTTCCCAGCTGGCTTGGATGGCGTATTTACCCCGGTCGCCAGGCGGATTTTCCGTGGGCAAGGAAGGGGTGAGGCGAGAGGATGAAGACAGCGAAGAGGGTGGAAAAGCGAAAGGAAAGGAAGGCGTAGTGCGATGGGGCGAGGAAGAGGGTGCAGGATGTAAGACGAAGGAGGCGTGGCCTCGGCATTGATCCAGAATCCCCACTCTCGTGCTTAAAAGTACGGCCCTGGCTGCTCCGTGCTGTGCTCACCCCCGTGTCGACCTCCTGTAAGAAACCGGCAAGAAATGAATATTCATGAGCCACCGGCTTCGTCGTCTCTACCTTCTTGATTCGACCCGGACCAACCAGCCGGCGAAAAAACCCTCGGATATTCCGCAGGAAGATACGCGACGTTTATTAAATTTCGCGGGCAAACTTTGCAAACGGCCAACCTAAACGTCCCTTGCTCGCCCGTGGGTATTTTTTATTTATTCCCACACTTCCTCGTCGCATAATTCAGGGACTTTGCTCGGGTATTACACTGCCACGCCTGTGCAACTGAATTTCCTCTCCGCGTGAGATTATACCATTTAATTATTTATTTCGTTATCTCGAGTGATTAAAGAACTACCAGCAAGGCAGATTGTTTGATAAGTTTTTCGTTGATGGGATATTTGGATAATTCGTAATTTATGTCATGTATCTTCTTGTCTCTGCGACTGTTGAAAGTGAGAACATTTTGACTAACTCGATAGTTGAAATGAATAATAATGAGTAACTGAATAATATTAGTAATTTGACAAGTCACGAGTGAATCAAGATTTCTTATTAAAAAGGAAAAAACAAGTAATTTACCACAGCTTATACTCCTTCCAACTTGCAACTCGTGATAATAATAATACGTAATAATATAATAATAATCTAGCAATATTATACAAGTGTAGACTCTTACTGCACGGCAGTAAGTTGTTTGCCGAGGATTCATCGAATCTTACAGCCTTAGCGAGCGTAATTCTTCCAGGAGGGGGAAAGTTAGATCTAATTAACAGTGGAACGTCGATCAGAGTGGGAATTCAGGGAATCGGTTCCGCTGGAAATATACCAGCCTCGGATGCGTTTACACTAATTATAGCAATCCTATTTCTATTTACTGTCGCAGGATATTGCTTTATCTAATTATCTAATCGGCGAGAACCGTGTATGGGAGGGAAAGTGACGTTGTCAATGCCAGGTTATAAACTTCCGACTCCCCGTTCTTCGTTCCTACGATTAATACCAAGTCTGATTAATACAAGCTTGCGCATACGCAGCTACTCGACAGAAGAATTCCTTTCGTTTTCCTATCACAAACTGGCGCGAGCCTGTTTAACCCTCTTCTTATCGCGGGATTTCATATTTTCTCCCTCTTTATTTTCCAACCTTTGAATTCCGCGTTAAAAAGCTCTTTTACTGCGGAGATTGCAAGTCGTTATTTTCAACGTCATTATTTTTAACTTCATGTAGTAGTGTTCAACATGATACTAATTTTTTTCCTTTTTACTCTTAAAAATTGTATTACGTAGATGTTTAAATTAGAGAGAAATGGTGTTAAATGAAGATCGAGGGAGGATTAAATTATTATTCTTAATTTGAGAATATTTGAGAAGTGCGAAGTTTAAGAGTTATTCAAATTTTAATTAGGGAGAAACTGTCATACCTAATAAATTATAACAGTTATGTATAAATAAATTAAATTGTAACAATATACTTTGGGTACTTCATACATTTTGTTCGTGTCAGCTTCGCAAATTTCTCATATAATTAGAATAAACAACAGTAATGATTGAAGAACAAATTCGGACCACCAAGTGTGATATAATTGAAAAAGCAGGAAAGTGAGTTGTTGAAAGATTAAAAAAAATCAATTCATCAAGACGAAAAAATAAAATTTTGATCTCCCTTCCATTTTATTGCCAAGTATAATTCTTCTATTTTGTATTTTTATTCTTCGGCTTTATATTTTTATTACACATGTTTTTCCCAATGTACAATTCTTTTACAATTATCCAACTTTATGCTGCACGTGTTACAAGATTTTGACAGACTTGAATAATATAATTAGGTATTATATCATATCTCTCTTTCTACTCTCAAATTGTCCCTCGAAGCTTAACAAATATCCCAAAGCAATCGCCCTACGAGCCCCTTTTACGTTCATTCTCCGATCGAAAAAATATTCTCAGAAGAAAAATCGACCGTGCTCGAGTCGGACAAAATCGGAGGCCGGCTGCATCTCCATTTCCAGATAGACCGTGGTGGATGTTGTTTTATCTAATTTCAGGGATGCTTGCGGCAGACGAAGATGGAACGAGAGCGACCAAAAGGGGGGTAAACGGGGGGACGGTGCGCCGGTGGATTGGTTGCCGGCTACGACGTTCCCAGAGTACACTGGGAGTTTGTTCTAACTTGCAGTCGGTGCCAGTTCTCCTCAAACAGGATAGATTATATTCCAACGTCTCTCCATTTCGTTCCCGCCTAGCCCGCGAATCGCTTGCGCGCACCGATTGCTCGTGTTTGTTCAATCTAACTCCACTTCGCTGCCGCCATTTCGCTGATTGTGAAAAATATCGCTGGCCCGTTGCGCACGCCACGAGCCTCAGCCATCGACTGCTGGATTCTCCACCCTCGCGAAAGATCCCCCGAGAATACAGCCGAGTCCTCCAAGATCCTAACCGCGCCTGGATTTCCCTTTCAACGCCGTGCTCGCAGTTGTTTTTGATGCAACAAACTGTAAACTGTACGGCGGATTCTTCGATCTCCATTGATCCATGAATCCTCTTGTTTCAACTTGACTCTCGTTTTAAGAACGTTTTAGCAATTTAAAATATTTCCAAGATGGTGTTTTATTTTATTGGTAATATATTTGCCATTTTAAAATAAAATTGCTTTATTTTATATTTGGGGGGGGGGGATCTAGGAAATTTATTAATGACAAGTTTTTTAGGAAACTGAAACACTTGTTAGAAACCTGGGAATCTAGGGAATAATTGATAAAACGCTGCAAAGACAACTTTGGAGGAGATGCACTGCTTCCTAAAAATAAGTAATTTTTTTCATAAGCAATCGCAAAGTAAAACGAATGAATTACCTTCGATTATTCTTTGAAGAATAATGCTTCAATGATTGTCTAAAATTCCCAGATTTAACGGTATCTCGCGTCAGAACGATCGACGAGAATTTTAAAAATTAATAGGGAACCATTCACGGTAGAGAAGAGGGCAGGAAAAATTTGTAGGAAACGGTCGTTTAAAAGAGCTACGAAGGCTTCCGGCAGACTGCAACGCGGACGATATATTCCGCGAAGCCTAGTTAATCCTATCTTTCGGATCTGAATTCGAGGTTTCTGTTATACACCGCGGTTGGCTCGGTCCGCGCGATCAAAGTGAATTAAATCGCGGAGGGCGCGCTATATGCGAGTTTCTTCTCTTTTCTCTCTCTCTCTCTCTCACTCTCTCTCTCTTTCTGTCTCACCCTCTCTCACTTTTTAGTCTACCCCTCAAAAATATTCCAACGGTAGGAAACTGGCGCTCGTTACGACCAATTGAAGTTACCGCGATCCAAGACGCACAGAGAAGTGGAGAATGGTCGAGGAGATAGGTTACGCCGTGAGAATCCCTCGTTTCCGAATGGCCGCAATAAAACTGATGATCCTATTTTATCGGACACGTTAACGGCTTCGTAAATCAATCTCCTCGGCCGTTTCGAATTTAACGCGATGCCGAGTGATATTCACGATAAAGATAAGTGCGTTTGAGAGTATCGTGAGAAAACGTTGTTTCTTTTCCTTTTTAAATATTGGATAAATTTTAGATTGGTTCCAAGTCGAAATGAAAGTTTGTTAATGTTCGAATTTTACATTGAATCGCTGTTGAATTACACTGTTAATTTCTTTCAAGTTTCAGGAGAAACGTTCTCGTGACTTTTTTTCCAAAGCAAGTCCTTCTTTTTCTCATTTATTTCCGCTATCTAGTAACAAGTGCTTTGCTTTCGATATTTCATTTATTCTGCATCTTTACTGTGCATCTCCAATTTTCCCTGAAGCCCGCAATGTAAAGAGTCTCTCTTGCTCATTCGTCTGTGAAACACACACATACACACACACGCGCGCGTGATGCACACGAAGAATATTTAAAATGCTCTCCACTGGCGCGCTACCTGCATCAAACGAAACGAAAGTAGGGACCGTAGATTATATTTAAGTGCATCGCGAACCGGTGTACGTACGTATGTATATATGTATGTACATATGTATGCGTCTGTCGGGTCTCTTGTGAGGAAACACCATTGAAACAGAATTATCGAAGATCGACTAGCATCCTGTGGTCAAAGTAGTCTGCAACATCAAATTAAAATGTCAGCTCACAGGTTAATTATGGTCACTTTAAGGGCCCTTTGAACCCCACGGCGGCGTTAAAGGGTGAGCTGGTTCCACCGGTTCGGTCCCGGTGGAGGTCGAAGGATGATATTAATATCGGCGCGGATGCAGTTTTCCATGGTGCTGGCTGCCACGTCTTTAAATTGAAGTGTATCCAGCGGCGTGGCGTGACGAACTCATAAACTGCATTCTCGCGATCCTTTCAAATATTTAGAGGATCTGGGCGGAGGAACAAAAGAGAGAGAGAGAGAGAGAGAGAGAGTGAGAGTGAGAGGGGGGGGGGGGGGGGGGGAGAGACAGGACGAAGCGCAGGAGGTGTAGGTGGCGGAGGAGAGACTCATCCAAGTTGGCAACTTTCGGTCGTATTAGCTTTTGTATATATATTACCTCATTTGCGAGAGGAAAGCTTATACTTCTACCCCCTGTAGACACTATATAGATATATGTGCACTCACCTAACCACCCACCCCTTTACAATATACTCGTACACGTGCTTCGGCTATATTCCAACCTCGTCGCGAAACCGAGTCGCTTATCGTACCTGAAACTTTTTTCCAAGTCGTCTCTCTATCGAGAAGATGACTTCAGAAATCTAAGAAAAAAGAAAATAATACACACATCCAAAAGAAAAACAGAAAGAAGAAAGATCTTATTTATTCGTGGCCAACTTTTGGTTGAAAGAATCATCAATTGTTGCGAGACTTTCAGCGTTTGTCGGACAAAGTTTCCTGTTTTCGTTATGTGAGTAAGTAGCTAGAAGCAATTGACAATCTTCTCTTGTAAATGTAAAAAATATATAAAATACAGAGAAATTACAGCCATTTACTTCGATGGAAAACCTGACAATCAACGGTCAATTCATTCATCCGATGCTTTTTTTTTAGTGATGTATTCGCGAAGTGCAACGTGTATTCACTTTCAAGTTACGTGACAGAGGGTTAAAGGAAATATTCGAACAAGTTCAACGATTGAGCCAAGGGAATCCAAGAACAACTTTCAGAGAGACCTACCTCAATAAATTCAATCCCCGGTTGCCAACAATTCCGAATATCAGCAGACAGAGGAAGAAAAATCAGGAGACGGTCGGCGTTAATATAACAAACGTGCGGGGGCAGAAAAGCCGGCGAACGGCTAGGTATCGGGTGCATCCGGCAAGTATTGGCCGGCTGTCAGATGGTAGTGGGTAGAGTGGGTAGAGGGCTTGGGTAGAAGGAAGGTACCTATGCGGGAGGTTAGGTCGGAATATAGTTTAAGCTAGACGAATGGGCTGGTGGGTGGCTCTGGAGGCAGAAGAGTGAGCCGAGGCGGGTAGTTTTGCCTGGGTACCTCCGCTCCACCTCGCCAACTACCCTCTCTCCCTCCCACCTTCTCGCCGCTGCACATCCCCCGGTCGTCCCTCCCGAGCCGCTGCCGCCGCCACCGCCGCCCCCCCTCGTTCGTAGTTACTACTCCACCACCTTCTCCACCTCCTCGACGACGCCATACCCTCGTTCATAATATCCTGCACGTCAGACTTTGAAAACTCCAACAATTTCCTCCTGCCGCCTGGTTGGAGAGCCGAAAGAGGAGGTGGGCCGGGGGGTAGCGAGGGGGGCGGCCGGGGCTCAGGGGGGTGGTTTCTACTCCGTGCTACGTGGAGATGGTTCCGTGCCTGCTCTGATGCTGGTGCCGGTGCTGGTGCTCCTCGTCGTCCTCTTCCTCGTCGTCGTCGTCGTCGTCGTCGTCATCGTCGTCGTCGTCGTCGTCGTCGTCGTCGTCGTTGCCGCCGCCGCCGTCGTCGTAGTCGTCGTTCGTGGTGGTAGTGGGTGGCGGTGGTGGTGGCGAACCGACGGTGCGAGGGAGACGAGTTTCGAGTTTATATAAAGTTCGGGCCACATCAATAATTATAAGTAGAGAGCCGAGGCAAGATGGCGCACCGTCGACTGGCAAACCCCATCCCACCACGTGCCAACCGAGTCATTATTCAAACCATCTCTTACTTCCTCTTGTTTCCTTCTCTGTATCGTCCTCAACCTCCCCCGGACCAGACGATCCGCTGCTACCACCGGGGACGAAGTAGGGATGATCGACGTGTCTCTGCCCACCGTGATCGAGAATCGATCTCCTTTCCAGGAAGCTTCGCGTTTTAGGGAACGCACACGGTTGCTTTTGTCAAGCGTGCAGCGGGAATCCGAGATGCGTTGGATGAAGCAGTTGCGTGACAACCTGAAACATGGACTGATTAAGTGTGGTCTAGTAAAATTAGGACGATGGAGAATTTTTAATTGATCGTTCTCGGTATTTTGATATTAGTTCTCGATATTTTGATATGCATTTACTATGGACGACAGTACTCTTTCATTTCTCCAATTTCGAAAAAGATTTCTGGGGATGTGCACCTGTATGAATTATTCAGAAGCCACACCGATCAACTCCATAAATTGAAAAATAGAAGAAAGTACACTTGTTTCTAAAATTTTCCTCGAATTTTATGTCATCTATATCCGATGAATGAGTAATTTGTCGCTTGAAAAACGAATATTATTCGCATAAAATATTGACTAGAAGCTTTTCAGGGGTTTCTAAATCGTAATTTTTTATTCTGAATAAAATATCACCTTTCACACACCGTAACAGGTGTGATGACTGTACGGAATTTATGAGATAAACGTCCCGTTGCCTGCCACATGATCGCAAAATTAAAGATCTCTCTCCTCGCGAGTATTACACGTCCTCGCTTGCGCTCCACGCTAACCCTTCTCCCTTTGGAATTAAGTTCATCCCCTTCTGGAGACATTGTCTAAACTCCTGAAGTTTTGCCTTGTTGTTGGAGAACGTCAAGGTCACCGGTTTCTCTAAACGATAGAAGGTCACTGCGAGTCACTCTCGATATCTCACTCGTTCGATATAATTAGCCTCATTCGACAAAGAAGTCTCGCTGACAAATTTAAGAATTGCAATGAAATATTACGAACAACGATTATTACGAAAATAGGAGAAATGGTTCTTCGGGGCTGTTCAAAGATTTAACGAACCCGGGAATTATTAAGGGGGCTAAAAACACGCGAGGGAAGGCGATAGGAGAACGCTCGGTTTCCTGCAAAGATGACGGTTGATTAATGTTGGGGGTAGTTTCTTACTCACCCCCAGCGCGGTCCGGGATACTCGGTTACAATGGCGGCCGCCACCTTAGATAACGCGCAGAATTAATATCGCGCGTGGAGCGAACTGCTGGCTACGGTTCTACCCTGTTCAATTTATAATTTTAAAGATCCCTCTCCGATATACAGTCCGGCTAATAAACACGAAGAGAAGGGAAATCCTTTGTATATCACGTCGAAACGTTAAAATGCAATTGGATGCTTGCGGACAGTGGAATATACCGTTATTACTCAGACGAAGTGAAAATCTTGAGATTGTTCATCTCATTTCTCGTTCTAGCAATAATATGAAATTTATATGATCTATTTAGCGACTAGTAAGAAAGAATGGGCTCCTGAACGAGGAGATGAGAAATTTTCTGAAGAAATTAATTGAATTTCTACGGACAGTAGAACAAACTGTTATTTATCGGACGGAGAAATTATTCTCAAGAAAAGAGAAGAATTGCTCTTTGTGTTAATTATCATAGTTTCTTGTTAACAATGAATTGATTAGTGACCATAAATAGTTTCTTTGATGAAGGATGAAAGGATTTGTGGAAGAAATTGGTCCAATTTCTATGGACAGTAGAACAAACTGTTGTTTATCGGACAAAGTAAAAATTTTATTTCGCACCACATATTAATTATAAAAATTTGTTGTTACGAGTGAATATTATTGAAACTATTGAACAATTAGTAATGGAGAATGGAATGGAGCGAAGAAGCTAGCCAATTTTATCGAATTTCGACAAAAATCCAATCAAACTTCTACGAACAGTAGAACAAACTATCATTAAATAAACGAAGTAATCATTGTAAGAAGAAATTTTTTCACTAATTTTTCTAATTATGAAAATTCATTTTATTTATTATAAAAAAAAAACTTCTACTGATTTTGAAAGGTTTTACTAGTCGTAGAAAGAAAAGAATCAGAGAATTTTAATTATTATTATATTATTTTAAAAGAATTTTATTATTTTATAAAATTATATTATTTTAAAAGAATCATAGAACAATTTTCCATCAATTAGTCTGTTCGACGAAAATATAATTAAATTTCCACGGTGGACAGTGGAATAGTTCGTCATTAATCAGGCGAAGCAAGCGCTCTAAAAAAGAAGAAAGAAACGTTTAAATTTTTCTCTTGCTACCACTTGCGAAATTTATTCGCCGCAATTAAAAAGCTTCTGCAAGTGTTCAATCGCCTAAAGAGTGATGACGGAAAGGTCCCAGTGGCAAGGGAGAAGAGGAAATTTTTCATCAGCCAGACGGTTTCCTCCGAGTTGGCCAACACTTCCGACGCCAAAGGGTGTTCGGCTGCAGCCGGCCGCATAGATACACAGTGGACCACTGGCCGGGAGATCGGTTCGAATCTGTCCCTAACGTAGTTTTCAGTTGAAACGCAGATCTGGTGTTGCCCTAACTCGACTGGGGAAACTCAGAAATCTAATGCCAGGAGGACACACACAGGCCACGCCAGCCAGCCCCATGTTAACTTTTAATGCACGGGATTAGTGGCGCGGGTGCACGCGGGGCTGCTGCCCAAACTTTGCGCTAATTTGTTCGTCTATTAATCTCGTACTTCCAGCAACTGGTCGCACACTGACTGTGAAAAGAACCAATCGTCCTCTAAGATGATTTTTCCAGTCCTTCCGATCGGTAACGTGCGTGATCGAGCACTCTTCGCGATGATCTTCTTCTTTTTAATAGAAATATTTTTATTTTAATTGAAAACATTGAAATTAAGGTAAAAGTTTAGGATACTATAGCTCCAAATTTGTGCAAACATTTCCGGCCGACAGATATTTCAAGGCGATATTTTAACAAACCACTGGACCGCGAACGTTCGTGCAATTTCTTACGTTTATTAACCTCTTGCACTGGAATGATGTGTCACGCACGTCGAGAATATTTGACTCAAAATTGCAATTTTCTCAATTTTAAGTATATCGAAATATAATCCAGGCAAAAAAAATAATAAATTTATTACTTCTTAGTAATTTCTATCCAGTGATGTACCGATGAATTAAAAAAAAAAAGACGAATTAATATATACGGTCACTCGTTATGGTCCGTGACCTAGTTACTAGCGCAAGAGGTTAACAAAACTGAAGATATTTCACGCCATGTATTTTTATCCATGTCTGTAGCAACAAGTTTCTCGTAAATGTTTCCAACAACACGTTTCGAATTCATGAGAAAGTTTCGTTTCTCAGCGATTAATCGAATTAAATTAAGAGCAAAATGTTTGTTTGAGGTCAGAAAGAAGAAACAGTGATATTCGTGCGATCGCGGATCGAGTCGAGGATCAAGAAGCAGGACAGGAGAGGGATGAGCTCACCCTCCAGCGAATTCGTACAGACAAAGTCGGGACGTGACCAATCTCGTCCGTGTTGAACTGCGGTTTGAACGAATGTTTTGCATTTTACCGCCGCGGGCTAATTTATGTGAGAGAAATGCCACCCTCGTTTCACACCCTCTTAACCGGCAGCTCGAGCGTTTTATTTTCACTTAGACCCGCCGACGAGATTCTCAAACGGCCCTCACCGTGCCTCCTCTCGTTTGTCACGGTTCTTAAATCTTCACCGCGTTTCGAAACTAAATGAAATCGCTTGCAAAATGAATCGTCCGTGATCTCTTGCTTTTCAAAGACGCGGCACAATGGAGTTGTACATTTATCATATATTACACATTTTTTTTTCTCACGTGTGTTTCAAAACTATAATATTTTTAGAAAAATTAGAGAAATTACGTTTCATGTGCTATATGAATCGCTGATCAACTGCATTTGCACTGAAATGTAGAAAGAAATTAACAATTGTTAATATTTCTAACGAATTAATTTCTCTAACATTCTCTCTAAATTTCTAATATAAACAACTTCGTTGATAATTTCTTTTTATTTACCTTGAACTCGTGAAAAAAAAAGAAAGTCCTTTGTGAATCCAGGTGTCGTAAGTTAACCAGGGACACGCGGATACGAAGAAGAGAGTGGACAAAGATAATGGCAATGAAAAACCAGTGAAAAAGAAAAAAGAAAGGCCTATCCTCCCCCACCGGTTATCGCCTATAAAGCCAGTCTTTCACTAGGAGACAATTAAAAAGAGTGTCGGCCAGTAATTTGCGGCGTGGTCAGATTCGCGTGCGAGTTGAAATTAATGTGAGATTCACTGGTGCCGGACCCCGGTTGCCGGAAGAGGAAACGAGAAAGAGAGAAGGAAGAGAAGAAGGAAGAGGAGTTGGTGGTGGGAGGGTATATTTAGCACAAAAAGCCTCTAATTTCCAACGAGGGTGTAAAAACGGGGGTTGGCACCCGGCTCGGTATACGCGGGTTGCTTGTTGGGTCTATAAAACGCCGCTTAGCTTTTTTACCTCCTACCTCCTCTCTCTCTCGTGAGCTCCCGAAGGGGTGGTTTTAACCCCGTTAAGCTGTTTCCCGTCTTTTCCTGGCGTTCCTTTTTTCCGCGGCCGGTAAATTGAGCGCGGACCCTCTTCCCATCCCGTGATCCTTTCCACCGGTTACACGCGAGCCACACTCTCTTCCTCTTCTCTTTTTTCTCTCTCTCTTCTCTCCTCTTTTTTCCTCTCTTCGCCCTCTTTGCTCTGCCATCTCCCACGACACCCTAATTTTCTTCTCTTTTTACACACCATCCGCTGGCTGCCACGAGCCACCCGACCCAGATTCCTCTCTCCCACTCGGACGATTATCTCTGATTTTACCGTGATTGCGTTCGTGCCTTGCCTTCGCTCTTCTCGCTTGGCTCGAGGCTTGGTTCTCTGTTCCTTCCTCCCCGGAGATTAAATGTAAATTTTAAGGACGAGAAATGAGTCGAGTCTCGAACGTAGATTTTTGAAAAAGATTCGAAATCAACGATAAAAAGACTATCCTAACAATCGGACTTGTCTCGTCTCTATCGCTGTAAACGAAAACCTGGGTGCGTGGTTCGAAGCCACTTTCGCCGACGATATCCAACCAGCGCTACGTTACCGCTATTTCAAATGGATAATAGCGCACGGAGAAGGCAACAACTTCCTGGAAGTGGAAATCTCGACCGGCGATCGGACCATTGTCGCTCGACATCC